AAGAATAACGATAGTACTACTCCCCCAATCTATCTTTGTGATCACAAATAATAAAAGAAGAAATAAAATGCTTCAGCAAGAACAAATATTATCATCTCATCTTCTTTCCGTTACAATATAACTAAAAATTAATTTTAAATAATCCTAGACGAACATCAGATCTTTTACTGTCAATCATAGAAACTTTTCTTTGGACAATAGACGCAATTCTTTTTTACTACACAAAGAATATCCGCATGTTTATTTTATTTCGAGAAATCGGTAGCTTAGTCAATGTTGATAGAACCGAAATCATCACAATATACACCAGTCTCATTTCTATCAGGAAATTTCATCGGTTAAAACAAGAAAATATACAACAAGTATTGAAGAAATAGAGTACAAAAAGCCCAATAGGCTTACGTTCGACATGAATATCAATGATGATTGATATAGATTGTCAAAAGACGCTTGATAAGTGTCAAGAGGAACTTGTGGAATACACCATAGTGATCTGAAAGTGTAATAGTTGTGCTGCTGCGCAACATAATATGATTGACAATAATGACAAAGTTGATAGTTACTGTGCTCAATTTTGTTACATTGATTTCAATTAGAAATAATCTCTAATGGTTGAATAAAATTAAAACATAATTGATATTGAGCTGACGGCACATTTTGTAATTTAATTGAGTAGTCGATGGTAACATATAAGTAACAGGTGGTAATGAAATACTTTGCATATTGGCTGTTGTTATAGTGATTATATTTCGATTATATATACTATCAGTAGATGCAGTTGATAATGTAGATGGTGTTTGTGCATTGGTAGCTTTTTTCGAATTAGCTTTTTTAGCAGCTTTATTTTCAATAATTTTTCGCTTTTTAATCATTGCTAATCCATGTAAACATGAAAACACAGAGTAGACGCAGTCAGATTATGAATTTTGTCTCTGCGCAGCTCGTGAATATTAATACAGCGTGTTTGGACATAGCTATCTTTAAAACGCGTTCAGATGCATTTCAAAATCTTTTCAAACGCATCTCTAGTCGATTTTCGCGTAGATCAAACTTAGACGCGATTACTGTTCAATATTTCAATGGATGAAAAGACATTTAACCATCTCGTTGAATTTGAATGAAGTTCGAATTGGTTAACAATAACATATAAATGACATTATTTTTTAACTGCAGCTCTCTCTCTCTGTTTGTTTCGAATTAGATCCACGCTTTACATCGAAATATATTTGTGATTAATGTTACAAAGTGAGCTCACATCTTATTTTCTGTATTGAATGATCAATTAATCAAAAATATCGTACATAGATTAAGTTATTTTAGTAAAGATCCTGTAAATATGTTCGAAAATCTTTTCTAAAGCTGAATCTGCCGTTGCCAATGAAACAAATTGAATTTAGCTAAATTCGTTCGATGTGCTTATGTGAAGCAATTGACTTTTATTCCATTCTGTTATTGCAAACGATTCCACTGAAATGATAAGCTCTGATATATAGCAAAAGTTGATAACATTTATTATACAGAATAGAAAATAAAAAAACATGCTATTTGTTAATAAAGAACCTATTCAGGAAGATTCAAAACTGTATTGATTATTTTCTTCATAAACACATGTGAATACCATTTTCCTTAATGTATTCATGTTTGAAAGTCAATTATCAAATAGATATCCATTTCAATAAGAATTGCTTTCAAGTAAGTATAGCTCAGTGGTGTATGTTCACGACTTCTGATCGATGCTTCATATATTCAAATCTGCTTCGCGTCATGTAAGTTAAAAAATTTAATTCTTATGTTAGGGTGGGATAAAACTATCAGGATATAATGTGGATGACAGCTATGTTTGAATCTGAGATGAATTGATCGGCCTTTTGCCTAATTTTTCAATTAAAATGAAATGCGTCTATACGCTTGGATTGTTTCACAGATACTAAATCTCCGGTTTTCGGTGTCCTTTTATGCTTACCGTTATGTCAAGCTATTACACTGTTTTATTTTCAATCAACTGCTTTGTAGATTGTGAACAAAAATGTAATAACGAAAGAAAGATTTACGCATACAACTAAAACACTTAGTTACATAAAAAAACATTTTTCATTGCTTTTCGATAAGCTTTTGATACAATTAGATTCGTGTAACAACTAGTAGAAAATGGTATATGAAGACAAAATACTGTGATTTCTTTAAGAAAAATACTAATTTGTATTTGCTCAAAAGATTTATTTTCATATTGTGTAATTTGTTGATGTGTCAAAAATATTGCTGCCATTGAACTACAAATAGAAAAGATAATAATATCAATAAGAACCATTGAAACAAATTGTTGATCTTTTGGATTGATTTTATATGTTCCTTCGGCTCGATTAATTCTACTTTGTAATGATATTGTTGGAAGTGTTACACGATGTAAACGTCGAATATTCTTTACAGCCCATAAACCAAATAAAATTAATAAAATAATTGATGAACTTTCTTTAATAATTGAATAAAAACTAATAAAAACAAGATATGAACCAATTTCATAAAAACACATGAAATTATTCTCATTAACTTCTGTTATAGTTGTAAAAAACCATGCTGGACTATGAAATAATAACCAGAATACCGTTCCAATGATAAGATATATGTAACTTAAACGAAGATTACTTCGTTGACGAATGGTAACTTTTGAAGAAGTAATTAACACTCGATCAATTGAAGCTAAAATTAAACAATATGTACTTAAAACATTAGCAAATAATGATGTATAATAACATAAATGACAAAGAAAAAGACTTTTTGTTGTCAAAAATATATTATAACCAGATTCTAATGTTATTGCTAGTAGTAATGAATTAATAAAGAGAAAATCAAATATATTTACAGCCAGGAAATAAACAGCACATGGATTTTTACGTAAATTTTTTCGACTAAATACAATAATGTTAAGGACACATCCAATAGTACCGAAAATGACTTGAAATAATCCACCATAACGATATAAATATTGAGATATAGACTGTAATAACACGACTAAATTCGATATTTCTGTAGACATAATCTGACGTTTAAATATTCTGCTTTTCTAAAACTTTCCAATGGACTTTTATATTTCTGAAAAGAAAAAAAAAGAGAACAAAGTAGATGAGCATCTATGTTGCTGACGTGTGATTAATGTAATAGAAAATAAGAAAAAAAGAGGTCGTATTATTTTGCGTATGATATTAAGAAGAAAATATTCTTGAAGAAAAGCTTTTCTTTCCAGGTTTTATGCAAATTGATATTCAGCTGAAATATTTACAAAATATTTCTTATTAATTTCATCGCAACTTTCCGAAATATAATCACTTATTTTAAGTTACTGAAAATTTCATCCTTTTCTTAGATCATGTAGTCAGCAAAGTGTCTGTGAAATAAAGAATAATTCTTTTTTTCTTTGACATTGACAGTAGAGTTCTGCAGGGATGCAAATTTTTCTATCCTAAACCGGTCTGACATTTTTTTCTACACCTGAACCCGGTTCGATCCGGTCGGTAGTACAACTGGACCCGAGCTGAACCGACCGGCTCCACGCATAGTTTTCAAAATGACATGGTATTTCTGGAACTTTACTTGCTCAATAATATATTTCATAAGTTTCATTCATAAATAATTGAGAATAGATAAATTATGCAAAATTAGATTAAAAAGAAACGGGTGAATCGAAATGTAGTTGTTGTTGTCGTCTTACTTTTAGAAAGCGATTAGTTTCATGAAAAACACGCTCATTTGCAGCTGATGGTGATGCAATTGAAAGAAGGGATCGTACTCAACACAATAATTGTGGAGAAATAGCTGAATGCTTTTCCATCAGAATAATATATCTTCACCTTTAGGATAATTCACTTTCATTTTCATATATTCCATACCTTCGTATTCTTTATTGTGATCTTCATGATCTGTGGAATTTGATAAAACTCTTTATAGACATCATGAACTGTTATATCATCATGTGTAGCATGTTTTTTTTGTTAATTTTTTCCTACTACCACAGCAATTAGTGTCTATGAAGAAATCCAATTCTCTTCTTCTGTTCTATCTAATGATAGTACTAGATTATAAATTTATACATTTCCTGATGTGAGTAGTTCCCGGTTTGGGTCCGATCCGATTCTAAGTACCCGGTCGATTTGCAGGGATCTAATTAATGATCACTGGAAAATATGGCTTGGCATATGATGATTTTTTGGGAGCATATTTCATCACTTCTTATGTCATTGTTGTACTAGCAACAAAAAAGTTATTAGAGAGAATCTTATTTTTGTATTGTGAATAGAAACAATATCCCTTTTTTATTTGCAAGGTAAAAATAGATACAAGTTTAATACGAACGAAGGCAAACATCAAGGCAACTATTATATATGAACAAAAAGGATTTCTTATTTTTAATGTAACTCTGTGCTTTCTTTCTTATTTTATCTATCGATCGTTTGATGGTGTGAAATAGAAATGTTGTATACTAATGTATAACACACATTTGTATCAATTGACAAAAAATATATATCGGTGTGAAGCTAGCACGAAGGAGCTAGCACGAAGAAACTGTGTGTCAGCTAAAAACTTTTTTCCAGAGTTTGTCCGGTTCATAAAACCTAGTCCATTCGATTCAGAATTTAATTCTGCATCGAATGGTGGTATTTTTATTCACCGG